AAATATGGACTGAATGTAAATGAGTTTGGATACAGACATCACTTTCCTAGTTATCTAAATTCTAAATTGGAATGAAGCAAAACTCTTAGCCTCATTTGAACATCTGAAGAATATAGAAGGACATTGAGATCTGCTCTTCTGTCTTTAAAGGGCAACATTAAACTCCCCCTTATTTTATTTCTAAGGTTTTCTCTGTCAGATTAGATTTTCATCTGCAAACCATTAAAGCCACATTACCAATATGACACGTTTGGTCTCATTTCATCTAATTGATGTCAACCTCTTAAAGCACACCCTAGAAATCTGTTTGTAAAAAGGCCAAACTGCAAATAAGTGAAGAAAGTGGGGAATCAAATCATTGGATACATGCCTTCCAGATATATCACTTCCTGGGGGGAAAAATTAACTTTGACCAGCTAACAAGTATGAACATTTATTACTCAAAATGTTATCCCTTCTGATCTGACAGACCTGTTTTAAGTAATTCATTAAACATGACAAAAAGGCTCATATTGCTCTAGTTCATTTTTGACCTTTCTTACTATCAGAAAATTAATTTAAAGAGTGAAACAAATGTATTAGTGTTGTCATAAAAAGAAGATGAATACCTTGCCTTCAAGCTGTTTCTTCATATTAATCAATCACACCATATAACATGATTTCTTTTTGACACATAACATCTTGCAAAGATATTTTGTGCTGTCACACCAACTTTTTGTTAAATACTGTTCATACATTTTTAGTTCTAAAAGTTATTGATAAACTGAAATGAATTACTAAAGCCACAGAAGCTACAAATATGCTTTTCATGGGCTACTGTTTTGACAGAGTTTTATCAACTCTGAATATAGCTAAGATTATCTAGGGAAAAACTTGCAAATCTTTAATGCTTTCCCATCTACTAGTAGCTGAAAAAAATCTGATAAATGCATACATTTTGCTAGCAACTTATTTACCTATTTTCGTGTTCAGAATAAACAAATTTTGTTATTTTTTAAAATTAAAGATAGGAAGGAGCACAATATTTTTCTATTATTATAATAGCCTTGTTTACTTTAAAATTAATGGTCAAATCAAGATTTTCCTAGGGAACAGGTTTAGAAAGAATGGCACATTCTAATCTCCTATTCCCTCAAAACCCTCTTCAGATGATCATACACAACTGTTTAAGTCACTGCATTTACACACATATTGTAGGAGAAGAGCAGGCAGAATGCACAGTAAAGTTAGCTTAGAGTCCTTATGTTGCCCCAGATGATCCAAATCTAGCCCCCTTTGAATTTTTTGACCCTTTTCTAGTGCTAACTTAGTGTTGACTATTAGTTGACTATATTCTTGTGACTGGGCTTGAATAAATTTCTGTGCTGCAACTTAACCTATGGTCTGGATGCTTTGCACCTGACATTAATGTTCTAAACAGTCACATTATCAATGTTACTCTAAATTATGAATGGCAGGAGTTATGTATAGGAATACAATAATTATGTATTCCTAGAAAAGTCCCAGTATATAGTACAATAGGAAGATGCTGGAGATGGATGATCACTTTAGAGACAATGGCAAAGAGGTCAGTTCAAACTGACTGGTAAACCACTCCTGAATTTTTACTAAGAAAACCACATGGATGGAAAATATAAAATGTGTGGAAACATAGTACCAGATAATGGGCCCCGCTGCTGAGATGATACTCAATATGCTACCAAGGAATTGTTGAGTGTCTTTGGAATACTAATGGTGTTTATGGCAATGACTGGACTAAAGCTTTCAGGACATTTAGTTGCTGATGTTCCCATACAAGTAAAGAAAGTTGCAAATCAGAATTATAGGGGGAATATGCACTGTAAAATAAACATGAACACAATGAAAGATGAAATGACTACAGATTGACAACTTAACAACAGCACATTGACATGGACTGGCATTGGACATGATCAGTCAGATCACATTATTATTCAGGATGTGAAAACCATGAAGGAGCAGCATTGTTTATACATTTTAACATTTATATACTATTATATCTTATACAGGTAGCACAGATCAATAACAAGATTGAGTAATTCAGAGTCATGGGCTACATGCTGTCTCCTGACCTTTACTGGAAACACTTAAAATCATGCTGTCATCATTCAGTAGCAAAATGGCAGGTTTGCGGTGGCACGTATATTTTTTTTCATCCTAAAATATCCAATATGTTCCAAAATTACAAGTTGACCTCCTTTATAAACCGCAATTGCTAAATGATCAACGACATGGTCGTTAAATGCAGTCAGCAACATGGTTGTTAAATGCAACAGTCAGTAAGTGAGATATGACAATTTTATAATCTTTCAACTTTCCTTTGCATTTCAGATCTGCGAAGGTTATACATGTAAGGATTGGTTGCAAGGTTACTTTTTGATCACTGTTGCAACTGTGAATAGTTGCTAAACAAGGCAGTCATTAAACAAAAACTACTTTAAAGTTTTAGTCCCACACCATTAGTGCAATCATTAATCACCAACTATATACTTTTTAGTTAATAAATATATCTATGTGTGTCTGTGGAGAGAGAGAGACAAATTGATAGGATCTTCTGCTCCCTCCTACTTCAAAAAATATTATTTGTCTTAACCTACACTGTGGTCAGCATCATTCTGTCTCTAGGAACCATCTGTACTGTTAAACAGCATTAAAAAAATTATGTGTCAACTGCAAACATTCCTTGACAGGAATAGCCTAGCCTCCCTCATCCATGCACTGATAGTTTCATAATCTGATTATTGTAATGCTTTCACTGGGAGTTGTCCTTATGTGTGATCCAAACGCTGTTGCGGCAAAAAATCTAAACAATGTGTTTTTTATGTGGTTTATCCAGACACTGCCACATAACTGCTTTGTTTAAAAAAAAAAAAACCAATCTAGCTGTCATTTTACCAGCTCTAAAATGTTGATATTAATCACTAAAGTCTTAAATTACTTGAGACTAGGATTCCCAAGAGAATGTCTAATCCCTCACAGACCTCCTACAATAACTGCTGTAGTTCTCAAAGATCTTCCAATTTCTCAACATTCTGTATGTGTTTTTTTGAAATCCATGAGAAAGAAGATTGTGAGTAATGACACCTGTTTCCTGAAAAAAAATGGGACACTTGGAAATAATGTATGCCATGCAATATTTTTCAGGGTATGCTCATAATGCACATGATAATGTTTGATTCCATGTAGTTATGCTCATCTGATGTGGTGCATTATACTGGGGCATTTTAAGTATTTTTGCTATTTTATTCTGTAATGTTTTTTTTTTTAAATTCTGTATGCTGTCATTGGAGACACTATATGTTAGGAAAATAGATAAAATATAGATGTAGTAGGCTTATTTTATATCCTATCTAATTTAAAATAAAATAGATAGGATATAAAATAAGCCTACTACATCTATAAGCCTACAAAGACACTATTATATCTGTCAGCTGTCCAACTGGCAAATCCAGAAAAAGAAATTCCTGGGACATTATTTTACCAAGAGCATAAACTTTACTGAATAAATCCACATTGGCACAGAAGAAGCAAAACCAGATCTGGGCTTCCCACATAGACACATGCATAGTTCATTTCTCCTTTCCCCACAGTCCATTACCTCCACCAATCACTTCTGCTCATTTTGTTTTGGGAACCAGCCAATCACACTGTGACATCTGCTCTGGGTGTCCTTGAGGAGAGGAGCAATGTCTCATGGGGACCAACGATGCTTGGAGGCCCTTTCTCCCCACACTTGCATTCCAATCCACCACCCCATTCTTTGCCAAGCTGCAGGCAAAGCAGAATATAGGTGAACGTTTTAGTCAGTCTTGACAATATCTATAAAATAGATGGGATATAAGGTAACCCTATTATAAAATAAGCCCGGAGATATATTTGCTGCTACTACCATACCAACCTTCTAATCTGATTTTCCAATAGGCAACAAGGAACAAGTGAAAGGCAATTGCAGGAGGGCCACCATTGCAGCTTTGGAATTTGCCAAAATAAATATTTTTCTGCAGAAGAACATTAAATATAAATATTGGTGAGTCTCTCTCCCCCCCCCACAGATTTCCCATTTTAGTTGCCAGAACAAAACTGGAAAATAGAATTAAGAAACCTCAAACCTTTCTTGGCTGAAAGGAAAGGACTGTTAAAGACAACGGAAAAACGAAAGGAAAAGTTGTGTTTTTCCATCGAAAATCTTTTCAGGGAATCTCTAGTGGTGAACAAATAATGCCCCTGGATGCTGTTATTTTCTTAACAAGGGAGCTGTTACCAGATGAATTGTTATCATACTTTCTGGCAGCCACTTTGCTGACAGCTCTGTCTGTATGCAAATAAGCTTCGTTTTTTCCAGGAGCTTGTCATTTTGGCAGCCTCATCAAAAAATCATATTCTGTTTTAAATTATCTCTGTGTCTCCAAAATATCTCCCCTGCTACCTTTAAAAATAATTCATTTTCGGTCTTCATTTGGAACATCTTCTGTAGTTTGAAGTCTTCAAATGAGAATGCTGTTTGTAATTGAATTTTGCCTGGGACTACCATATCTGGAATGCAAAAATCCAAATTATCACCAAATGGCAGCAAAAAGCTTAAAAGTTGGGACTAGGCCAGATTTTTGCAGCTCAGGTATGGCCCAGTATGTGATGCTTATTTATTTTCTTGTTTATATATTTGATTTCCCACGTAGAAATGTGTACGATTGTGATTAGAGTTACAGAAAGTAAAAACTTTTTGCAAGAAGTCTTTGTACTTTGTACTTTATACATTTTGCACCCATCAGCATTTTGGGAATTTCAGCAAAGCAACCTCTAGATATCAAAGGATCAAGCTTAATAATCTTTATCACCCACAAAGGAGACACAGGTCTTTTGAATGATCATTTTGCTATAACATACAATTTGCCCTGACTCTGAAAATCAGGATTCTCCTCACAACTTGCCTACTCCTGGCATAAATTAAGTGTTCAAAGATGTCAAAATCTTTCTCCTTTCCTTGATGCTGTCCCTCTGTGATGACATGTCCAAAGAATTTATTCTGTCAACCTCTCATTTCCTTGTACTTTAGAGGTCATCAGATCCTTTGACCTGCTCCCAAAGGACTTGTGTAGCTAACTAAATTATTGTGATTGGGAAGAAAGCAAGCTACAGTATATATATTTGATACATAAATATATACATCAATAAATAAAATAATCCATTAGCAAGGTCTTTTCTTGCTGTAGAGAAGCATGTTATGATCTCTAAGTCTCACCTGTGCCCATATGAAGGTACCTGTAAATTTCTGTCAGACATTATTGGTTGTTCAGTTTAGGAGATTGCAAACATCCTGAATATTCTCAGCATCTGTCAGAAAAACTGCTTGATTATCCCCAGAAAATGAGGGGATAGTGTAAGGTTGGAGCCTGAGGATTGTATAGATAGATGCATTAGATACAATGCAGTTGGCATCTGGTTTTCTTGGATTTCCTGTTTTCATTGTTTTTGCTCTTTGGAGTTTTATTGTGAGCCTTCCAGTTCTACAAATTGGACAGCCATATACTTCTTTTAAACAAATAAATACATTGGAAACAGACAAAACAGTTATGAATATCAGAATAATAAAAACATAAAAATACCACAAAACTAATCAACTTTCATTTAACTGATGTTTGCAAGATGTAAATAATGGCACGAGATCATTGGCTAGAAACTCTCAACTCTTTTGATAGATTCATATCAATATAAAGTAGTGATCAATCAATTATTGTATTGCAGTGGTGGCCAGTCTCTTAGTTTGGCGTCCTGGATGATATTTTTTAAATTATTCAAAGCAGAGACTGTTTTATATCTGTATCACAACTGTGCTATTTTCTTCTCCTTTGAACAGCTTGGTGAAGAAGACATTTTCTTTATGTTTGTGGAAGGATTTTTCAAAGCTTTTCATGTGTTTGCAGATGTCTGTTTCTTTTTGCCTACTGCATTTAAGAAGCTAAACGAATAGTATAAAATTCAATATTTGGCAGGAATTGCAGGAGCAAGCCTGAATAAAAAGAAGACATGAGACTTTGCTCTTAGAATGACAAAACAGATCACTTCTCTCTACACACACCCCAGAGGCAAGAGAAGGAAAGAGGTGGGAAGGAAGGACAGGAGAGCAGAGAAGAGGAGAAGGGGAGAAGAGGGGAGAGGAAAACAGAGAAAAGGAGAGGAGAGGAGTTACTTGATGATGACTAAAATAATAAGTAGTGAGTAATTAACATCCATGCATATCCACTTGGACTAAGCTGCTCTCAACTGAGTGGTCTTATGCAGGGGTGGGATTCAAATTTCTTAACAACTGGTTCTGTGGGTGTGGCCTAATTAGTGGGTGTGGCTTGGTGGTCATGTGACTGGCTGGGCATGGCTTGTATTTAAGTATTGTAAATATATATGTAAAGATTGATTTTTTTATTTTTAAAAAGAGCAACTTTTACCCAAAATCAGGCAAATCAGGCAGGCAGATTGAGCTGCTTTCAGAATCACAGCTTCACTCCCAGATCTACCTTTCTGCAATCTGCTGCCTGAGTCTGCACTGAAAAATAGAAGCTTCAATCCTAAGGAAGGTTCAGTTCTGCTCTCAGGCCACTTCTCCCCCCCCCCCAATCCCCTGAATACCACCCCTGGGCCTCAGGGAAGCCTCCTGGGAGGGGAGGGTGGGGAGGGGAGGGGCCAGCCAGTGGTTCTCTGAACTGTGCAGAATTATAACAACCGGTTCTATAGAACTGATCCGAACTGGTAGAATCCCACCCTTGGTCTTATGGTCTTTTCCATCCTTTAGCTGTTAACTGATTGATCTTGGTGTCCTTAACTGCATTTAAACATAATAATATGATGGCATTTGAAGCAGATTTTTTGTGTCATGACGAATTAGAAAATGCAAATTCTTGCTCTCTGGTCAGTAATTGGTTGTCCTCTTGACTCTGGTATTCTTCTAAGGAAAGAGAAATGCAGTCTCCAGCAATCTCCAATCTGCTCATCTGTTCATCTCTACAGTAGTGTCATGGCAGACATAAGATTAGGTCAAGGAAAATGCAAATAATACATGGGTTCAACAATAAAATGTTATGAATGCATGATTATTATCATACAGCACTGGTCAACAGGCCCATTTGCTCAGCAGCCATAGGGCTAAGCGGGTTGCTCTATCACATTACACATTATATTTACAACACTTTTATTTTTCTCAAATGAACAAAGCTATTGGTGGGGAGAGTCACCATGGTAAGTCAAGTACAGGAATATGTCCTTGAATGCACCAGAACCATTTAAGGAAACTGAAAAGTGGAGAGATGGGATGAGAATAGAAAGGGGTTTGGCTTTTCCCTTTCCTGTATTGTGTTCCCAGCTCAGGTCTTTCACCACCCCATCCCTTTTATTTTCTTGGTGATCACAGCTGGAAATTTTGTCCGATTAGTAAAGAGTTTCCCCCCTATTAAGCCCCTGAATCTCCTTCAAGAGACTGATAGACTGGGCCCTAATGGCAGCCGCTTTACTTCTTTTCAAGTTCCATCCATCAGGCTGACAGTGGCTGCCGATGGGCCAGTCATATTGTCTATATTTCATACACAAACATCAGGCTTGCTGACAGCACTTTGCACATTCGGAAATTGCTTTTGCTGTGAGTTGAATTTCAACGAGAGCATTTCTTCCATCCTGCTCCCCTCTCCCCCCTCCCCAAAAAAACCCAGCTCTGTCTTTCTGTGTTTATGAGCCTCAGGAGAAGAGGAGCTGCTGTAAATAGATAATGGTGAAAGCGCTCTTTTATGGAGCAGAAGGTTTTGGGCTTAGAGTATTTAATGTTTACAGCATATTGGGAGTTTGTTAATTTACAAATTGATTCATTCCTTACAAGAATGGTCATTTCGTCCTTCTGTTTGTCTTCTGCACAGATGTGTTGTTGTGTCATGTGTATGCAGGCGTGGAATTAGCAAGATGGTAAAGAAACTCTGGAAGGGGTAAAAAGTGAAGGGTGTGGACAATGCAGCTAATGTTGGCAGCCATTTGGAAATACTAGGAGGAGGAGATAAAATATAGGCTTTAACTGGGAAGAGCTGATCCTTTGGCTTAGAGGGTGAACAGATATATTAGTTTACATACTTGACAACTTGTGTATTACTGGATGCAACAGAAAGGAGGAGACTTTTACTCTACAACCCGATGAGTGATTTGAGATCTTGTTCATTACATTACCCTAATGGCAGGGTAATGGCTTCAAAACAGAACTCTGGAAAAAAAGATGGTGTTGCCGGAAATGAATGGCTACAAACAATTCTTACAAGGAGCTGCATTTAAGAGGTCCTGTTTTAAGATAGATACATTGCTGCTGTGATTAAACATGAACATGATTTAGCTCCCAAGGGCAAGCCAACATTATATCATGACCAATTACATTCATAATTAAGTGCACGGGAAAAGAACAAAGAAGAAGAAACAGCTCTCTGCCTCATTCCTTGCCAGGAGATTGTCCTAGAGATGGTGCTTGGTTTTGCCTTCCATTCGTAAAGGAAAAATTATAAACATTTTCCATTCAGATGATCCCAACATCTTATGAGACAACATACATTTCTATTTCCTAAGTTGGCCTTTAACGTTAATGAAGGTGTAACCTGTGTGTAATGGCCTAACTCTTAAGGATTGCAGTATAAGCACTAACGCAGCAAATTGTTCATTGCTTAATTTATTTCATTTTTACTATCAGGGATAGGAGCAACTTCTTAACCTTCTAAAGTTCTGAAAGTTTCTTGGCAGGTTTAACTGTCTTTCATCATTGGTCTGAATTGCAGACTGTATACAGCAAAGAAATTTGTAGTATCTCCTCATAATCCAAGATTACTTCTTTCCTTAATCCAAGGGTATGAAAGCTTTTTGGGATCTCTAAGTTTAATCTACTTCACAGAGTTGTGAGGAAAATAAGAAAGCAGTGCTATTAATGACCTTTGGATTCTTAGAGGAAAGACAAACTGTTCGTCTAACTTAAATTGGCAATAATAGTTGTATTTAAATTCCTGATTTGCTGCAGCTTCAATTTGGTGGGTAATTTTTCTTTGGAATATGGTCTGGCAAATGTAATATCTTTCAGGATATAAAATGAGTGAAGTATAGTTGTATGGTAGGAACTGCTCACAGCAAGGTTTTCTATCACACATTTTTTAGCAAAACTCTAATTTTATGGTATTAACAATTTTTCTTTTAGATTCCTGAAGTTAAATGAATAGTAATAATATCAACTGTTTGATTTGGTATTTAAATTGTTTTGATTAGTTGAAGATTTATTTTTGCTTAGGGTGGACCCCTTGAAATAATGGGAGTTATTTGACTGTTAAGTTAGCTGTTACTAACTTCTCCCATTAGTTTCAGTAGATCTACTCTAGGCATAACTAAATCTGGATCCAATCTGCTAGTTTTTCAGTTTTCAGTGATTAATGGAGAACAGTTTTGGTATTTTTTATTAGATTTTTTCCCCTTTCTCTAAAGGTTTCATTATTGATTAAATTTATTTAGGAAATCTTTTCAATAGTTGTAACTTCATGAACTAGTGGACTTTCTGTTTCATTTATATGTTTAAGCTGTAACTGAACATTGGTTTGTTTTCATGATGATTTGCTTGAGATTTAGCCTCTTAAATTAATAGGGTATAGGAAAATGGCATTTGAAAAACACATTGCAGTACTCAAGCATAACTTAAGAGTGCATGAATATCTCCAAAAGAAATTTTCCCCCTTAATATAAATGTCTAATTATCTGCTACTGATGTTGTAGTAAGATTGTAAAATAAAGGATACCTTAGAAGCAAAGAACGGACATGGACCATTTACAATTAGGCTGTTGGTCATTTCAAGCAATTAGATTAAGCTCCTATTTTGTCTTTTCAAACTATCTTAATTAAATGTTTGAGAAAGTGCTTGAAAAATGAGAGAGGCAAGTCAAATAGCGATGTTGCATTATTCCTCTGTAAATTTGTTGAATTCAATTTTTTCCATTTTAATCTTGATGATAAGAATTATGCAGATTGTTCTAATTTAAAAAGGTGTATTACTGTTGTTCTTATTGTACTTATTCTCCATAAGTATAGTATGCAAACGCTGATTTTTAAACAAGTAATATGGAATGTATACAAAATGTTTACATTTCCTAAGTTTCTGCTCTGGATACCACAGCAGCAATACTTCCCTCATCAGGATTTATGTAGCTCTGCCAAACGCTCATAGAATCATTTGGACCAATAAAAGGTATTGCTTGATTAATTGTATGACCTTTTAAGATAACATTTCTCATGGTCAGCTTGTACAAGTGCCAATCATGCTTCTATCTTCATTCAATCAAACAAGCTGAAGCGAATATACACAACAGTCTCAAATACCCAATTAGCAAATCAATCGATCTGTTCCACTGCCCAGATCCAGGAGATCTTATCCAGAATACCACTGAAAGAGGAAATGTTGGTACTTTCCAACTTTTTGTCCCCTCTTGGCCTTTTTATTGAAGGAAAATCTGGAGTGAACTAAAAATGCTGCAGCATATTTTCTCTATTTTTTCTCTGTTTTTTAAGAACTTGACTACCAAAACTTATTTGGAAACATTTCCTTATCACTATTGTGTGAAAAATGCACATTTTTACCACAGCAAAGAAAGGCTTTATTTATTATCATCGGTGCATTTGGATTTCTCTTTCACTCTCCTGCCTCTTCTCGCTAATCACACAATCCCATGAATTTATTTCAAAATATATTAGTTGCTATATATAAATGTTGCATTTTGCCTTTCCCCCCTTATCAGATTAACAATAATAATGGTAAAAAGGAGCAAACTATTGTGTAAAATTATACTACACCGCAGGTCTTGGAAATAAGGCAATGTAGTTCAAGAAAGTCTTACATTTTAATCATCTAGATAAAAACAGAAAAATGTTTTCCAAAATACAGAGTGGAGACAGATAAAGAAATGGAGGGGCAGAGGAAACAAAACAGCAGTTGTGAAGCCAGGGGAGGAATTCTTTCTGAACGACATTTATATTTTGTATTCATGGGAGCAAGTCTTAAATCTGGGTGCACATGAATCTTTTTACACTTTAGGCAAATAAAATGCAGAGTTTCGTAATGAATCAGTAACACTGACAAGGACGTGGGTAGCTAGCCACAAATAAAAGTAGAAAGCTACAGTAGCTCTTTTTAAAATGTGCACAGAAGATAACATTTATCACATGCTTACCCTGACAGGTGATTCCATGTGACTGGCAAATTGGTATTTGTCATAGGCTGTGTCAATGAGTGTGTGATCATAGCTAGGTGAGATCAGATGCAGAACTGACAGATATTAAAACAAATGTAAAGGAAAAAGCCAGAAGTTTGATGAAAAATCAATTTGCAAACTGGGTGGAAGATGGGACAAAATAAAAGGCCAAGCAAGATTTGGTATTAGAGCATAGGCAAGAGGATAGGTTCAGGACATGGGGGAAAAACATGATTTTTATAAGAACAATTTATTTGCCATATAACAACAGTCTCAAAGCTTTCTATGCCATTAAAACTCTTCTATAGATTGTTGGGGGAAGAATGTTGTATGGGTCTGCTTTAAGAGTAGGGCAAAGAGTAAGAGTAGGGCAGAAGCAAACAAGCTGCAAGAAGTTGTTAAATGTGCATGTGAGTTCGTTTTATATTGTAGAAAGTTAGCACCCACCCTCTCCTAGAAGAATGAAATATTCTAGGAAATATTAAAAAGGCAGAATATTATATTTCCCTGGATGAGAAAAGGAGAAACATGTTTTTAAAGACAAAGCAGCTTCCTGCAGTCCCTGCCCCCACTCCAGCTCCAGGATGATGGGATTAAAACGTGGCCCCCAAGAATGATAGGATTAGTCCTCACTCAGATCCAAACAAGGGCAAAACCATTAAACCATAATAGATTGTCCGAAGCCCCTTCATTACATCACCCTGCAAGATTCAACCCTGCTTGAGATTCAAGATGACCTACAAAGTTACCCCTGCATGGCCCCATGGGAGTTTGACAACCGATCAGGATACATTTCTCACCACATTAACAGGAAGCTAGTTCAAAGCCCAACAGAGATTATAAATCTCTCCCCTTCTCTCACCCATATGCTCTTTTTGCCCAGGACCTCAAATCACGTGATCTTGATATCTACCATTAAACCATCCTTCCAAGCGGCCTCCAAGTTTACAGTGTCTTTCTTCTCACTTGGAACTGAACCCAGATGGACATTTCTTACAACAATTTGTACACAAAACTGGTAACATGTGTAGGTAAATACTCAGATGCAAAATCTGGGCAGCAAAAGTTAGCTGACTACCCAGATGATTGCAGACATGACTTTCTCTATCTCTTTCAGGCTGTCCAGATTTTTCCAGCCTAAATGAATTTAGCTTCAGGGAATTGTGCTGTAGTAACACCATCTGCTTAATTTCTGAGGCAAGGTCGGCAACAGTAACACTGTAATGATATTAGGAAGAAGAGGGTAACAGCATAGATTAAAAAAAATAGAGTTTATTATTTTATTCGTAGTAAATAGGCAGATTAAGTCTACAGGAGACTTATTAAACTATACTTTAACTTAAAAATGAAACTTTGCACCAATAACATGATTACTAGAATATTTGGGCTACATTCTTGAGTGTTTAGGTTGCTAAAATGAAGCTGGGTACCACTATTCCCATTCTAAAATCATAAGACTAATGAGACGGAAATTGGTTTTAGAGTTTTGAGAGCTCTTCAGGATGGATTATATAACAGACCTATCCTAAATGTATGCTACATCAGTATTTCTCAACCTTGACAACTTTAAGATGGGTGGACTTCATCTCCCAGAATTTCCCAGCCAGTCTTGTTTAAAATTGCCAAGGTTAGGAAATCTCCTCTAGCTTTCATCAAAGAAAATTTTTGTAACGGTTGTTTATCCATGAGCCTGTTTCACAAACCAATTGGCTGTGTTCATGCAACAGACTTAACCAAATCAGGTAAAAACTTAGCAGCCCAGATGCAATTTGGTTAGTGTAATTAGTCTTTGCTTTGCCTTGTTTTCCCCTGACTTAATGGGTTGTGTAAACTCAGACAATTTTGTTACTTTATGACTCCATATATATTACAAAATGTTAATTATGTAATCAAATTAAACATGTAAAGAAGGCCTTCAGCAATATGAAGCTGTTGCCAAAGATTCAGGGAAGTAGAAGTAAAGTAGGATGGAAAGTTAAATAATTTTGGGTGAGAGCATCAATATAACAAAGTGATTGATGTAAAGATGAAGAAAGAATCAGATCTTCCCATGATCTGATAAATACATTCATTCAAAAATTTTGTTGGATTTCTGGAATGAGGTGTTTATTATAAAACAATTGTTTTTAAAAATTCCAGATGTTGACCAATCTCTTTCATACTATTGCAGACATCATTAGGTTTTTCTGAAATAAACCTAAAGCTTTTCCTGTGAAAGAAATACATAATAACTTTATTCAGATTAATCTCAAGGACAAATGTTGTCCATCACGTTTGATAGAATGGCATGGTGTTTTGGAGATGTTATGTTTTCAGATAGTACAGTATTTTCTTCTCCCCCCCTCACCTTTTCCTTCCCCGCATTAAGGTCTTGCTTCTGAGTTTATGAGTTGTTTTAAAATAAACTGAACAGAATTCAAAAGATTTAAGAATATCCACAATCCAGTGGGAAGACTTGTTAAAAAAAGCTTTCATCAATCTAGTTTGGGAAAATATCCTCTTCGCATGCTGTTAAATATGTAATTTGTGTGTGTGCATTTCAACTGAGTTATTTTTATAAAATGAAATTATAACTGCTTTATTTTATTATGCTTGCCATCAAAATTCTGCCCCATTTGTTCTCTCTGGGTGCTTCCAAGCAGATGGTTTCTACCAACATTGTCAGTTAAGACATTGTACAGCTGTTCTGTCTTCTTTCCTTTTTCCTTAGCTGATTGTAAAAATATGAGAAAATATGACAAAACTACCAATGCAATGGGATGATGTTTGGACTGCTCTCCCTTTAAAATCCTATTGATCAAATATGATAATTGAAGAATACAAGTTATGTTTGGAAATATCCTACATGCCTCTAAAGATTAAAGCAAGCAAAATTGAAGATGAGGGAGTAGAAGAAAATAAGTAAAATTGCCCAATGGCATAATCCTAGGTGTCAAGAAACATAGAAGAAATCATCCCAATCGCGTATACAAGAATTTGGTCTAAGGCACCATTTGCAGTTTAAGCTATGATGAAGAGCTCATTATTATTATTTTTTAAAGCAACTGGTTCCATTGTTGAACTGCTTTTGCAATGACACAATTTTAGCTGCCAATAAACACGCATCTGCTTCTTTAATTCTGGAGTGATTATGTAGACATAAGCAATTCAGCCTGACTTTGTATGCTTTCCATGATGGGTTGCAGAGATTAGTAATTTATTGGCCATCACATAAGGAAGATTAAATTAGTTTTAGCAATGTTTCATTTTCTCATCTCACACTTTAATGTCTTTGACTTACTTATTCTTTTTCTCTGTTCTGCATAATATTTGCTTACAGCAGAAGAAATAGTACGATAAATTTGTAGATATATGTTTCCCCAATTTGTCATTATGCACATACACACATGTGCACATAGACATACGATATATGTGTATATGTATACACACAAACACGTATGTGTGTGTGTGTGTGTGTGTATGGAAATATTTTATTTCCTTGGCATGCAATGCTATCCTTGGAGTTGCAGTTTGCAAAATCTGGTTCCAGTCAGGATGGTGATGGGTCTATGGTGGGTGGGTTGGGTTTAGAGGTGTCAAAGTTCTCCAACTTGCATTTTTATTGGGAATGCTTGCAAACAACTTTAAACCATTGGCTGGTTGATTGATAGCCCCCGTGTAAAAGCCAATTTGATTTGCATGCACATATGATCATAGTGAATATAGGAATGTTATGATCCTTTTCAGAGATGTGGCACGCTTATGGAATTATGCATTTCAGCAAAATGGGGATTACCTGTTGTCTTTACAGCTCAAAAAATTAGGGAGGGTCCCTTCTGAGATAGTTGCCACACCCGTATCCCTGTTGTGAACTAAGTTGCTTCTTATCCAATTGTTTCCTTGGTTGCAATTCTATCCCCTATCTCCCACGGTCATTCGCACATACCATTATATTGTCTGACAATGCAGACCACCTTCTTCATCCTGCTTCTGATCATGGAGACGTTTTTATGGAACTGTCATCGGAGGAAGAAAAACCTCTATATTTCTCCTGTGGTTTCTTTAGAAAAAAAGGAGAAGAGTTGTGTATGACTGGATATATGACAGAGTGGCAATAATGCAAGAGGGTGGGGAGGCTAAAGAAAGGACCCAATGGAGAATTAAAGAGCAAAGCGCTTCCGTCAAGTACTCAAGCAGTTATTGATGAAGCAAAAAGATGATTAATTCTAATATATTTTCAGGGTTTTTTAAATTCCAAGTATGCTGTGGATGAACTTTTCACATGTATTTACAATTTTTCTTTACTTTTTTAAAACAATCTGATCAATCTTTTTAAAATTCCTTTTTTAACCTTTCCCCATAACCCCTTCCTCTATTCCAGTCTGCTAGCACAACAAATAATTACTAGCCTCCTAAAATATACTAGATCTTTCTTTTTTTATAAATGATTTTCCCTTCCTTTCTCATTCCTCCTGTTTTATCAGCTCATCAAATACTTTCCTCTGTTCTACTGTTTTATAAAAACCAACCTACAGCACATTCTCACAATATGTTGAGTTAGGTTTGGGCTTAGTGATGATTATGAGACTTTCCCATGTATCATAGTTGTTGCAGGTCTATTTTAGTGCAGTTTGCAATCCTCTCCCTTCCTGCCTTATGAGTGTGCTGGTTACCTTTATGGTAGTCAGCAACCACTTTTTATTTTTACTGATATTAAAAAAAAGATATTCATAACAGTCCCATCTGGGGATGAAGATAGTGACTGGTGAGAAATTGGGGAAGATTAACCAATCCCCCAGCTACTATGTGTACCAACACAAATCCTTTTGTGCTTGTGAAAAACAAAAGTAGAACAACTAAAATGCTGGTTGTGACTGCTCCATAGTGTCATAGCCTTGGAGAATGAATGGATGATTTCCTATGAACTAAGAATGTAATAGAATGTGATAGAATGTAACAGAATAGAATGTAATGTAATAGAATGTAATAGAATAGAATAGAATAGAATAGAATAGAATAGAATAGAATAGAATAGAATAGAATAGAATAGAAT